AATTAAGCGGCTATAATAACACAGTGTAATTCATGTGAAAAAAGTAATTTTGTTACGTGTAAAAACAACAAAAGTCAACCTTTGTAACATTTAAAGTTTTATTAACACACAGAAAAAATAAATATGTATATAGAGTTATTAAAACTTTGTCAAAGTAACCAAAACTTTTGCATATTTTTGCCTTTTTTACACAAACGCATGAATAATGTTGTTCGTTGACTAATGTAGTGTTGTTAACATACCGTACACATTTAATGGTCTGATATGGTGGGATTTGACTTTTGGTATATCTTTTAAAGCCCAATTTGAGATTCTCTTCATCCTTTACTGGCTCTGAGGAGATCTAAGGCCTGTCACCGTCACCACAGTCATCTCTGTGGGTAAAAATAATCAATAAGAAGCTTATGACAGCTCAGTCTCAGCATTACGCCCACTGCCCAACTTAACACTTGTATGAAACACTTCCACAAGGACACTTAAAATGACACCTCAACACACACACAAAGGCGGCACTGTGTGTAACCTAACCTGTCAACATAGATCATCAATAAATTAACAGATTTTCAAAAATTTAACCTATATTGATATTATTAATTGATCTACATTGGCTAAAAAGGGCACTTTTGGCTTTTCCAACAGAATACAATTAGTACTACTTCATGCAAGTTGTTGTCAACCGATTTAAAGTATCACAGAAACACATTTTTACTTTGTAACAAGTAGAAAGTAAAGAAAGTAGATCGTCGTCAGTTTAAACGATGACGTGCCGGCCTCAGAATCTCTATTATGTAATCAATACACTATGCACATGGACCTGTAGCACTATGGCTGATTATAGCTGACAGCTGTGAGCTCAGCCTGTGGTTCACTACAGAGTCAAGTACTGTACCAAGATCCTAGCAGGGCCAGTTAAAGTCAGGCTCTAGTCTACTGGACGCTTTCACTATGACTTGGATATAATGCTCACCAGGAGGGACACAAAAATAAGTAAATTCTCTGGAGGGAAACAAGAAGAAGATTGTGGTCAAATAAGTAATTAATATATGAAACCGAACATCATACCAATTAAATTAGCTTTTAGATTAACCAGCCCTTAGTTGGAGTGATCCATGGCTCACGCCTCTCGATGTAAGTAGCCAATTACATGTGTCATGTTAAAGGAGGTACAGTAGCCTTGAGCCTTTGCAAATGCACACACCAGGTGTCAACAGGGATATGGGGGACAAGAAGCAGTCCCAGTTTGGTCAATGAATGATACATGTCAGTCTTGCATACATTTTCACACCATACACAAATTTACATTCACAGGTAAGGCTAGTGCAGTCACTTCCACAGCCCTTTTAATATTTCCCTGCACGGTTTACTAAGATCTCTTTTTGTAAAATAAAAACATAGAAAAATAACAATATTGTTAATCTATACAGCTAAGTAAATCAAGGCTTTGCCAACTGATAGATATGTGTGAATGTTAGCCATCTGTGAGAGTCAGTTTTCAGGAGGGGAGGGGAGAAGGGACTCTGTTGACGTCTGGAACGTTGAGAGTAGACTCAGGTTTGAGCTCAAAGCTAATGTTTACGAAGGAAGCTCCAGACACTCCTGGCTGCTCCACAGTAGCCGGATGAGGACCGTCCTGCTCACCTCTATGCTGTTCGGCAAACCGGTGCTCCGCCATGTCAGCCAGACGGTTCTCCTCCTCTTCCTCCTCCTCCTGCAGGAGAACACCAGTGTGTAGCATTTAATACAGTTTATTCTTACACCCGCCTCTGCATACGCAGATTTTGAGGTGTGACTTTATTCACATTTGAAATGGATATATGAGACTCATGGATCTGCGTGTGCGCATGTGCCCTACCTCTTTCTTCATACGGTAGTACTCATCAATAGCGTACTGGTATTTAGGAGTAGTGATGCCAAACAGAGAGGCCAGTCTCTCTCCCATGTAATCACACACTAAAGGAGACACACACAAATTCAATAAAAGGTAGACTTGACCCAGATTTGTCTTGTTATTATCACTATGTGAATGGGACCAAAAACAACCAAATACAATTAAAGTGTGGAACAAGCCACAAAATACATTCTAATATATTCCTGCACAGCATCTAATCTGTACAGTTAGCCGACATTCCAGCATTTTCTGACTTTCACTGTCTGGAAAACACCTCTCAAAACATTTCAGGATTTCAAAGACTAGTAAGAACCCAGTATGATGTGATTGGCTCTTGCTAGCATGAATGCCAGCTGTGACAGTAGACTGCTTTACCTGAGACAGTGGAGGTGGCCATCCTCCACATGTGGAACCAGAAATATGGACCCCAGGTCAGTTGGGACTGAAATACAAATGAATCATGACAATTAGACCACACACCTGCTGGTCAAACACAAAAGAACAATTTTGACATCTCAAGCATCATTATATAAAACTGTATTTTACACTTTATATCCACATAAAGCAGCAGGGCAAGGAAGGGATAAGGAACACCGACCTTCAAGTTGACAGCCTCATCTTATGGCATATAAGCAGTGTACACCCACTCTCTTTTGATGGATGTTACCAGTTTGAGATTTTTTTGTGTGTAAACGGTGGATATAAAAAGTCTGCACACCCCTGTTAAAATGCCAGGTTTTGTGATGTAAAAAAAATGAGACAAAGATAAATCATGTCAGAACTTTTTCCACCTTAAATGTGATCTATAATGGGAAAAATTCAATTGAAAATCAAACTGAAATTTTTTAGGGGTAAAAATAAAAAATACAAAACTCACAATAACCTTGAAAGTAGTGAGATGACTGGAAATCAGGGTAGAGAGAGTGAAGGAGATAAACATACACACAAACAGGTCTCTGGCAGGATGTGAACCACGGACAGTGTGACTCATGGTCATGGTTTCTTGACAATATACCAAGCAGTAGCTAACTAAAATATGGATTGTTTAAAAATATCCTACACATACTGTAATTTCCTAATTAATTATGTTGGGAATTTTATCTAGTCAAACTATTTAAGGAGTCTCTTATCTTTTGAGACTAAAGAAAGAAGGAGAAATGAAACCCGTGGCCTTTCCAGTATGTGTATAATCCTTGTGGTTTAAGTAATGTGGCTGTAAAAGTATTTGATCTTAGCCTACCGAATCTACAGTTGTGACTTCTTTCTTCACAGGCTCCTCCTTTTCCTCCTCTTCATCGGTGCTGTACTCCTCCATAGTCTCCCCACTGGCAAAGTAGATGGTCCTGCGGGGAACCTTCACCCTCCCCTGCCTCCCAGCAGAGTCTCCTATCTCCACCGTCTCAAAGTCTGTCGCCCCGCCATGACTCTGACAATAGTTCAGAATAAACAATCTATGTATAAGATGCCATCAACATTATATTATATTATAAAGTGCCGAAAACAAGGCGCAATAACAGGCATCTTAATGTTGTTTCACACTCTGGTGGCATGTTTGGCAGAATGAAATCATAGAACTAAAACAAAAGAAATTTAAAATAAAGTTAACGTTTAATGTAACTTAGTTCTCATTGTGTGCTGTAACGTTAGCTATACAGTGAGGTAAACGCGTTTTACGATAAAACACTAGTTAACGTTTCAAACACTGGTGCCTTAACGTTTGTCAGCTTTAGAGTAACGATGCTTTAACGGCAACGTTAGCTAACTTACTTAGTGTTTGTTGACTGTTAGCTTCTCAGCTAAGGAAGTAAGTTAAATCGCTATTACTCTAAAAAAAAAAAAAAAAGTCTTTATTTTAACATTCACAAACGCGAAGAATGGCCCAAGTTGTATCGCACGGACTAACCTTATCAGTTTCCATAGTTTGTCCCAGTGAAACGTTGACATTAGTTAAATACAACGACAAATCTGCCATCTCAGTCACTTCTCCCAACTGACACAGCGCACTACGATGAAGCTGTCCGTTCCGCTAGCAACACTTCCTGTTCACGGCTTCAGAATAAAAGGGTCCAGCAGGTAGACCTTAATGTAAAAAAACGGGTTGTTTGACAGCAAATTCTGCCATACTGTACATTATTTTATTTGGTGTTAACTGTTCCGCACAATAGAGTCATAAAGTTTACACAAAGTTTTTAAAATACGTACGTAAAAATACGTATAAACACACAGCACACATCTCACACCTTAAACTAAAGTTACTGTTATACAAGTGGTATACAACGCATGCAAACTTTAATAGAGCTCTCTGCAACATAATAAAGTCAGAACAATTGTTACTTCTTCTCATTCTGTTGAAAATTTTAGTTTATTTTTTAAATGTTTTAAACTGAACTAACACAACACGTTCCCACATTTGTAATTTTAATTCAAAGTTAAACTGTCATCACATTTGATGCATTTAAGAACAAAGTAAAAGATGTTTCCTTCTTATATTACATCGTATATATCCGGTAAAAAGACGTTTGAGAGATTTAGAATGAATATTGAATATTCTTACACTTTTCTGTAAATTATATGAAGAATCAATTTATCATTTGTTTTATCAATGTATATACTGTAGAAATATTTGATTGGATGCTGAACTTTATATAAAAAGGAAAACTGGACAAACATTTCAACTTCAGGAAAAAGACATTCATATATGTTTTGAAAGAAACAAGAAGGAAAAAGATGTGATTTTGAACAGTTGGTTTTATTATTGGGAAAATTCCACATCCACAAGAAAAAATGGACTGACTCCAAACCACACTTTAGACACTTTCACCAAGAACTGCATCAGTATGGCACCACGATTAAAAACATTAAGAACAAGAAGGCAATCAAAACTTTTTATGAGTTTCACAAATTTCTTATGGACAGTTGATATATTATTTTGAATCTACTTTACTCTTTTAATTTCTTATGTCTTGTCATTTATTTATTTATTTTTCTCTTTTTATACATGTACCCCTGGTTGTTCTGTGTTAATATTGTCAATGTAAAAAAAGCCCATGCATTTAACAAGCAAAGCTTTATTTCGAAAGTATTGACCGGAAGCTGTCTTTATTGTACGCGAGCTTGACGCTCGAAGGGATCCTGTTGTATTGTTTTGGTCCAGTCGAGCCCTCTCACCAAAATGACAGCGAGGAAGTCTGGGTCACGACTGGAGACCGAGATAGAGCGGTGCCGTTCAGAGGGGCAGTGGGACAAGATACCGGAATTAGTACGGCAGCTTTCAGCCAAACTAATATCAAACGGTAAGAAATGTCCGGGTTTCCCTGTTCGTTCATTCAGTCTGGAAGGCCTTCTCCCTGGACCGAGTCCTCGGGACTTCCTGACAGCAGCAACCGAAGCTAGCAGTTTTTCAGCCCTGAGCCAGTTAGCTAACCTAAGCAAAGGTCAAGAAAGACACTTGGGGTTTTTTTCCACAGGGGTTTCAACACCTTTGGGGAGCGTGGTATGTACACACTGAGATACTTTGGTTTTAACATATTGATAACGTTAACGTTACTCCAAAAATCAATTACTGTGGTCTGATAGTCCTGCACCCCGGGAGTCAAGCGGAACTCATTCAGAATTCTGTCATGAGGTTAAGCTTGGCTTTGCTCTACTTGTATGATAAAGTACTCACACTGAATGTCAGATTTCGTCAATTCTGGTTATGCATCGCAGTTAGCTTCACTTAAGTTAGCTGGGTGGCTAAGATGCTTGATTGCTACATGCTAGCTGTCAAACTCATTGATGCTCAGTTTCAAACCGCACTGCTGGCAGCACATGATAAAGTGTGTCAGGGTGCATATATTGTCATTTTACAACACAGGGTTGCACATAGAGAATTGGCCCTTGGTGCTACACACACGCATAAACATAATTTATTTTTATTTTATATATATTGTTTAACATGACAAGTTATTTATAAACATACATAGACATAGATACTAGATCCCCCTGATCCAGTATGTCTTCCAGATTGACAAATAACTAGATCAGGTGGTGGTGTACTTGCTTTTCTGCTGCAGATGTGTTTGCTGCTCTATCTTACCACCGCTGCAAGAAGCCAAGGCAGACTGCTCATGGTAGTTAATGCATTTTAATTACCATCAAGACTTCTAGTGTGATTTGATATCGTCGTCTTTGGTCCCCTAAATCTAAAAAATTATATAACACCACCTGAAAATCTCACCTCCGGTTGTTAGTACAGGTACATGCAGGAACATTAAGAGCTCTGTTGAAGCAACCACAGCCAAGGAGGTGATTTGCTCCTGATTGCTCCTGATGTATAGTTGTAGGGCGAGGAAAACTTCAGATTTATGGTGCTATAGTCTTAAAACAGAAATACTGTTAGACCTTTGTAAACTGTAAGGCTGTTAAAAATCTCCTGTTCCTAAATGCGGCCAAATGAAAAATAGCACGTGAGGTTTGTTGATTTTCACTGAAATACATTCAGGGAGCTTTTGTCATTATTTAGAGCCTTATTTTCCCTTCTTTATCTTAGTGAGAAATGTTTCATGTTAATCTTGCATAGAACAATTGTTGACATGTGTGTAACCAAAATCCTGCAACTACGGTAGACCTGAATGTTGCGGTCAATCTCTGAACACAAAGAAAAAAGCTGCCTTTATGCAATGTGATTTGGCACATTAGAGCTATGAGCTCTAGTCACTGGCTGGGATCAGTCACTGGATTACTGCTTATTTCACCATTTGGACCTCTAAACACACACACACACACACACACACACACACACACACTATTTAGAAGCGTGATAAGGCTATACATAATTCTAACTGGTATGTGTTTAGTACAGCAATGTTTCTTCCTATGTAGATTTAATAGCTGACTACCAGGAGACCCTTAAAGTGGACACACTAGATTGATCCCCCTCCCTGAATGTCCTGCTAGAAAGAGCTTTGACAAGCTTACTAATACGGCAGTATGCAGCTTTTACAGCTCTGCCGTAAACTGGGTCTGTACATAGTCAACGGCAGGCTACGAGAGGACTCTCTGGGTTGCTACACTTACAGCTCAGCTTTCACAGTCAGTCCCCTGACACCCCTCTCAGACCACAGCAAAATCACAGATCTATCTGAAAAGGGCATAGTGTAACTCTGGAGCCCCTAGTGCCTGTGAACTGTTTAACAGCACATACTCATACAGATGGACCCCAGACAGCATGGCGACGTACCAAAAGGCACTGGAAAAATAAACATGATTTAACTAATTTATTTCTAACTGAAACATTTCCCCAGAATAATTCTAGTATGAATTCTGCTGTTGACAAAATCAATTTAATTTTTCATAATTTGGCTCTATTGTCTAATTTGAAAGTTAAAAAAAACAAAACCTCAACAAATGAACAATAACAAATGGTTTGACACTGAATGCAAAAACCTAAGGAAAACTTTAAGGAAATTATCAAATGAAAAGCATAGGGACCCAGATAACCACAACATACAATATGAGGCCACTCTGAAACAATACAAGTACACCCTAAAAACAAAGACAGAACAACACAGCAAGAACCAGCACTGTGAAACAGTGAGGAATCAGAATCAGAAATACTTTATTGATCCCGAGGGGAAATTCTTTGTCACAATTGCACACTCAAGGTCCGTGTGTCAGACACTTAGAGGAAGGAGTTATAAAGCTTGATGGCCACAGGTAGGAATGACTTCCTGTGATGCTCTGTGGTGCATTTTGGGGCAATACATCTTGCACTGAAAGCACTCCTGTGTTTGAGGAGCACGTCATGGAGTGGGTGGGAGACATTGTCCAAGATGACATGTAGTTTGGACAGCATCCTCCTCTCTGACACCACCAACAGAGAGTCCAGCTCCACCCCCACAACGTCACTGGCCTTGCGGATCAGTTTGAGTATGTTAGCGTCCGCTACCCTTAGCCTGCTGCCCCAGCATGCAACAGCAAACAGGATAGCACTGGCCACTACAGACTCAAAACATCCTCAGCATCGTCCTGCAGATGTTGAAGGACCTCAGCCTCCTCAGAAAATAGAGACGGCTTTGGCCCTTCCCGTAGAGGGCTTGAGTGTTCTTGGCCCAGTCCAGTTTATTGTCCATGAGCACTCCCAGGTATTTGTAGTCCTCCACAATGTCCACACTGACCCCCTGGATGGAAACAGGGCTCACCAGTGCCTTTGCTCTCCTCAGATCCACAATCAGCTCCTTAGTCTTTGTCACGTTGAGCTGCTGATGGTTCTGCTCACACCATGTGACAAAGTCCCCCACTCAGCCTCTTCACCCTTACTGATACATCCAACCACAGCAGAGTCATCAGAAAAGATGGCAGGACTCTATGTGGTAGTTGAAGTCCGTGGTTTAGATGGTAAAGAGGAAGGGAGAGAGGACCGCCCCCTGCGGGGCCCTGGTGTTGCTGACCACACGGTCTGATGCACAGTGTTGCAGGCGCACATACTGAGGTCTGCCAGTCAGGTAGTCAACAAGGACACGAGGGGGCATCCACCTGCCTTACTGTCAGCTTCTCACCCAGCAGGGCCGGCCGGATGGTGTTGAAAGCACTGGAGAAGTCAAAAAACATGACCCTCACAGTGCTCGCTGGCTTGTCCAGGTGGGCATTGATGCGGTTGAGAAGGAAGATGATGGCGTCCTCAACTCCCAATTGGGGCTGGTAGGCGAACTGGAGTGGGTCCAGGAGAGGTCTTTCTATGGGCCGCAGCTGATCCAGAACCAGTCTCTCCAGGGTCTTTATAATGTGCGAGGTCAGTGCCACAGGTCTGCAGTCCTTGGAGTCACTGGGACGTGGTGTCTTTGGCACAGGAACGAGGCAAGATGTCTTCCACAGCACAGGGACCCTGTGGAGATTCAGGCTCAGGTTTAAGACATGGTAAAGGACTCCACATAGATGGGGGGCACAGGCTTTGAGCACCCCGTGGTGGACACCATCAGGGCCTGCAGTCTTGTTAGAGTGGAGTCTTCTCACCTGGTCAGCAGTGTGGCACACAGAGGTCACATGTGGGGGAGGGGGAGAGGAGGGGTCGTCAGGCTGGAGAGAGCTGTTAACCTGAGAGCCGGAGGAGGGGGGAGTAGTGGTCTCCCAGGAGGAGGAGGAGTCCAACCAGTTCTGAGAGAAATGGAACAACCTAAACAAAACCCAGCAGGATGAATTGGCAATCCAAGATGGAAATACTTGGATTAATCACTTAAATTATTATATTATAGTAAATTATATAGTAATATTACGAAAAATGATGATCAGTATAAGATATTCACAAAATGGAAAACTCTGGAGGCGGTGATTAAAAAACAACCACAACCCTCTAGATTACCCGATAACAGAACAAGATTTAACAGAAGTCATCCAGTCCCTGAAAGGAGAGAAGGCTTGTGGTATTGATGGATTCCTCAACGAAATGATCAAATACTAATTATAATATATAATAAAAATCAGATTGGCTATACTAAAACTATTCAATACTATTCTTGCAACTGGAACTTTTCCAGACATCTGGAACAAAGGTTTAATAACCCCAATTCATAAATCCGGAGATAAATATGATCTAAATAATTACAGAGGAATATGTGTATCCAGTAACCTGGGAAAAATATTCTGCAACATCATTAATAAACTACTTGTCAACTTTCATGATGACCACAATATTTTTGCCAAATTGGTTTCTTGCCAAATTGCTGCATGATGGACAATATATTTACCCTCCAGACTTTAATTGATCAAGAATTAAAAATTAAGAAAAGAAAGGTATATGCCTGTTTTGTTGACTTCCAAAAGGCCTTTGATTCCATCTGGCACGAGGGCCTTTTCTATAGGCTACTTGAAAGTGGCATTGGGGGAAAAACATATGATTTGATTAAGAACATGTACACAAAAGTGAATGTGCCATAAAGATTGGAAACAAACAAACAGCGTTCTTCTCCCAGGGCTGGGGAGTGAGGCAGGGATGCAATCTCAGTCCAATTCTCTTCAATCTATAAATCAATGAATTAGCCAGCCAATTGGAGCGTTCCAGGCACCTGGCCTCACCAAAAACACCAAATAATCTGTGCAGAGCAGAGCTCATCCCCTTCATCATTTTAAAATCAGTTAACTCCCAGACATACCATCACAAAGCCCTAACATACCAGGAGCTGAAACCAGAGAAGAGTCCCCTCAGCCAGCTGGTCCTGAGGCTCTCTGCAGTAACAAGTCCCCAGCAGCCTCAGGACAGCAACACCAACTCAAGCAGACCAAACCAAATAATCAACAAGCAGAAAGAAAAATATATTGAATACTGGAAACAAACGACCAAAAACGCAAAATGAGCCATGTTGCAAAGTAAATTACAATGTTATCTGACCCTAAAAATAGAATTCACACTGGCAAATTACCTGAGCACAATAAAATGTCCTAAACTAAGAAAAATGCTGACAACATACAGACTGAGTGAACACAGCCTGGCCATAGAAAAGGGTCGCCACAGACAGAGCTGGCTACCACAAGAGGAGAGACTCTGCTCCCAGTGTGACAGGGGACAGGTAGAGACAGAGCTGCACTTTCTAACCTCATGCCCCAAATATAAAACATAAAGAGAAAAACACTTTGCAAACATTTCCCAAATATACCTCAAATTCAGCTTTCTATCAGACACACAGAAACTCCCCAGTTTTGTTTGTTTTTGTTTTGTTTTTTAAATTTCACATTAGATACTGAATTTTTGTTGTTTTTTTTAATTTATTTTTAATTTATTTTATTTTTAATTTCATTAATATACAAACACATTACTATTTTATTTTAATTTTATTGTTACTTTTTTAACATGCACACTTTTAGTGTTTTATTTATTTATTTTTATTTTCAATATATCAGTTAATTTTAGATTGACATTAGAATGATCTTACATTGACCTTCGGACTTTATACAGTGATCATAGATTATATATCGCCCTTGTTGTAAATTGATTTTAGATTTAAACTGGCAGATGGATCCTAGGCAGACTCTATTTATTTACGTCAAGCCTGTTAAAATGGTGGGGAGATGAGGGTTGTGGACCAGTAGAGTTATAGTCATGAATTCTTCTAACATCTTGTGTGTCTGTTTGTGTCAGTAGATGACCTAGGGGAGTTGCTGCTGGGGGATTGCAAGCTTCAGACATACCTGAAGGAGAACCCCATCAAACAGGGATCCAGTCCCAGGGGCCCACGACCTAAACTGGTAGAGGTCAGGAAACACCTCACTGCTGCTCTGGACAGAGGAAACCTCAAGGTAACTGCTTTGGATGAAGAGATAATAGACACACTGAATTACTTATTTTGATTCTAGCCTGTGTGGTCACCTCTGTTTCTTATTTATTTTACTAATTGATTTCTTTTTTGTTATCATTTAGCCTAGTGCAAAAAAAAGAGAAGTGGTTCGTGCAAACTTTTCAACGTCAACTCGAGATGTTTCCTGTTTTTAATATTTTTACTTTTTTTTTTAATTCACCCTCCAGGCCGATTACCTCCAGGAAGCCAGTTTGTTGATGGCCAAACTGTGCTACGTGGAGGGAGAATACAGAGACGCTTTAGGTAACCACACATTCCTACTCCTTTGGTTTGGTTTATTTACTCATATTTAAGATTTGTTCATTTTATTGATAATCAAAACAATGCTTATATGGAAAAAATACTAGGTTACCGATTGATTTATTAATTGATTCCTAATTAATGTATTGGCAGATCACTACAGCAGGGTGAACCTGGATGACATGCAGCTGGTGGGAGCTCCTGTGTATAGGCTGTCCATGATAGCAGAGGCATACGCTACTAAAGGTATACACACACTTCTCCCATCCTTCTTGACCTCGCCTCACCTGCCATCAATCCCGTCTGCACTAATTGCTGCACTACTGCTTTGCTCCGCATGGTGGCAGTACAGTGTCACTGCTGGGATGAACTGTAATATGAATAAATGCACACTGTCACACATCAGGCATCTCTGGTTGCCCTTGAAATATTTCTTATTTACTTTCCTTCTATTCTTATTGAATGAATCTGTCTAACAGGAGACAATTTTTGAGTTGATAGTCTGTGAAAGTAATGACTGTTGTTTGTTATTATATAAAGCAGATTTGAAAACTAATCATCAGCAGGAGAATATGATCATCCTAGTGTCAAAAACTAGACTAAACAAATCCTATATATTAATTTGGTTTGAAAGGAAAGGCAAAAATGAATTCCCTGCACTGATAGATGATTAATGGCCTTTGTCACTCTGTCTATTTTCTCACTCCCACTCTCCCCTCAGGACTGTGTCTAGAGAAGGTCCCAGCCGTCTCTCCATCTCTATCCAATAAGAACCCTGGGTCTCCATCATCCAATAGGAACCCAACAGAGCAGGAGCAGGAAATAATCACCTGCTATGAAAAGTCCGGAGACATCGCTCTGCTCTACCTGCAGGAGGCTGAGAAGGTATATGTTTTTATGTCTTCAGTCAGCCTTCTGGTGTGAGGGACTGAAATTTGCATACTTGAATAACTATCCATTGCAGTATTTTCACACAGTGTCGCACGAGTGCTCACCAAATATCTTATTAGCGCCTGGACTCCCAAGTGCTTTGCCATTCCCGTGGGTTATTCTGCTGACAGTGTGCAAGTTTGACTAATGCATTACCGCCCATGACAGCCAGCTGGCAAACAAATGTCTTCCTCTTTATTTGGAGAATGTCTGAGAGGACGTACAGACTGTACTGGCGAACAACAGTAAACTGCAATAACAGGCAGGAGAATACAAATCAGACAGTCCTGATATTAATATCAAATATCTTGTATAGTCTGACCACCAGTCCAAAACCAAAATATATTCAGTTTCCTATTGTGTAAGACAAAGAAAAGCAGCAAATCCTCACAACTAAGCATTCATTAATTATTTGATTAGTTGATCATCAAATTTAAATTTTCTGTCTATTGACTAATGGATAAATTGACTTATTGTTTCAGCTCTAATAAGGCCACTTCTTAAATCAAAACATTAAACATGAATATAAGTAATGACGTAATAAAACATTAAATGTTACCAGTATTAAATCAAATAATGTATTCTGAATGTAATGCTTAGTTATCATATCTTATGCATAAATGAATGAAAGGTGTATAAAATATAGGCTGCTTCAGAAACAAAATGGTATAAGTGAGACAATTTTAATATTTTATCTCCTTTCTTTAATATAATGATGCCTGGCCTTGTTTCCCCTTAGAATTTGTTGTCCAACACACAGGAAGACTAAAACTGAAGGCTGACAACACGCAGCACATCTAAATATATAGCTGGTACACAGATGACTCCCCGCCGCTCATTATTTTTAACCCTGTTTTCTTTTTGTTAGTGGCAGCTGTTCATCAAACACGAAAGCCAACTTTTTGCTGCAGTTTACAGCATTGGCATACATTGACAGAATTGTGACATTTCTACTCATTCCTTAATGAAATTAGGCTACGGGGGTTTCATGTTTCTCTGCATGTTTGTTTTCTTTCTTTATCCTTGTATGTCTGTTTCTGCAGGCGTTGTCGGCAGGAATTCAGAACCGTAGCCCAAAGCCCGGCCCGACAGCCCAGGACCTGGAACTGGGCTACTTCCTGGAGACGGGCCTGCAGAGAGCCCACGTCATCCACTTCAAGAATGGGTAAGAGAGGGAAAAGGTTGCTGGTGGATAGATTAATACGGGAGAGAGAAATCAGGGAGAGGCCGGAGGGTTGCCTGTCAGTCACCACAAAAAGGAGAAGTTACAAAAAAACTTTAAAAAAATAAACTACAAACTTCAAAAAGGTATTTACACTCCTTTAAAACTTCGTTTAGAAGGTGTCATTCAAAGGTGTCAGTAGCCCCAACAGAAACCAAGAACGACCCTTTGTGGTCACTTTCCACCCACTTTGCAGTTAACATTTTACAAAGCTGCTGACAGGTTGATAGAAGCAGAAAAGTGTGAAGACAGTTAAGTAACATACAGTGGAAGAAAGAAAGTGTTGTTTTAAGTACAGCAGAGACAGTTTCAGGGCTGTAGCAACAGCTTAATCTTTGTGCTGGAAGACGTAATCTTTTAGTGGACTGGGTGAAGACAAATTTCTATTTTGGTAGTTTTTTTTTGCACAGCTGTTGTTTTGTTTCCCTCTCGTGACACTTTAGATTTCAAAAGTCAAAAAAGAAAATTTAGTTTACTAACATCACCTTACATAATTTCTGACCATAAAAACCTTAAAAAACTCTCATTTGAAGCCGCCAGCGAGCAAAATTGCCTTGTGCTGCATGAGATGTCAAAAAAAAATATATAAACAAACATGAAAGACATTAAACATTCATGTATTAACAGCGATGCAACATGATGTAACATAATGTTTCTGTGTCATCTTGAGAACTGGCAATGTCGTGGTGCAAAGAAACATCTGTGAGCGATGCTATTAAATATTCACGTATAGTTAGAAACTTGAAAATGTTTTCAGATATGTCTATTTTCAGATGTGTTTGATTCACACATACGCAAACTGCAGACTCTGACAAGTGTGTTTTCCTTCCTGTTTCCTCACCACGTTGCCACAGCAACCTGACACGAGGCGTGGGCCGGTTTCGGGAGATTCTTCGGGCTGTTGAGAACAGAACCACCCAGAGCCTGCGCATGGTGAGGGTTGGCTTTTTTTAAATTTTGGTCTGAGATGATTAGGTGATGTTTATGTATCACTTTCCTCAGCCTTTTCTTTTGGCTTACGCAGTGGAATAGTTATAAATTTTGGGAAATACGTCTTATTGCAGAGAGGTCTCCCCTGGCTGCCTAGCAACCTCAGGAAGTCATTTTTATGCGTTGGTGTTTGTATGCATTAAACAGACTAGATATCTCCAGGTGCTGATAGGAGGATTTTATTACCTTCTGACAAAGCAAGGCTAGCTGGTTGCACCTTGTTTCCAGTCTTTATCCTAAGCTAAACTATCCAGTTTCTGGTGCTAGCTTTGTATTTACCAAACAGTGATGTCGATCTCCTCATCAACTCTTGGCAAGAAAGCAAAATGTCAAACTATTCCTTTTAAAAATTTTGCTGCTTCCATAATAATACACAAATACTCAATACACACTGCTTTGATCTGTCGAATTTGCGAAAAAAAATTTAAACTTTAAGGGCAAACCTAAACTTAGATACAAAACCCACCACAGGCAAGTAGATGTAAAATTTGATTTTGTTTGTAGATTATGACGAACAAATCCATATTACACTGTGTATAGGAGTAAAAACATTAATATAACTGTTTTCTAAGTATATTAGAAGCAAAGTAAGCCCCAAGTAAACAGACTGCTGCTATGCTGGTGCCAGGGTATCTTTGTCAAGTGTGTGTGTGTGTGTGTGTGTGTGTGTGTGTGTGTGTGTGTGTGTGTGTGTGTGTGTGTGTGCATACAGACCATAGCCAGACAGCTTGCAGAGATCTTGCTCAGAGGAATGTGTGAACAGAGTTACTGGTCTCCTCTGGAAGACCCACCCACAGTGTCGCCACTAGATGATCCCACACGGCAAGGACACACTCACAGCAAGAACTACAGCTTAAGCCGACGCCCACGAGTGTACTCGGGAGAGAAGTAAGTGATAATGTGTGTTTTGTTGATGCTAAAGTTGGAATACAGTGGAAAATAGCCAACATGGCTCCAAAATTAAACTGTCGCCAATGTACTTTTCACCAGTTGCTCTCTCCATCTTCGGCTCTTCACTTTTTTCTCTCTCAGTCTGTTTTGCCCTCAGGAGAACACAGAAGAAGCTTTGCTGCTGCTGCTCATCAGTGAGTCCATGGTAAGACACATAGCAAATATTTCAAACCCATCTCTAAAGGAGCGGATTCTCAACTCGGGTTTGGAAACCTTGACACTGTGCCATTTGTGTATACACCTATGTCTCTGTCTGTGTGTTTCAGGCTAACCGTGACGCTGTCCTGAGCAGAATTCCTGAACACAACAATGACCGTATCATCAGCCTGCAGTCTGCCTCTGTGGTGTACGACCTGCTGACTATAGCTCTGGGCAGGAGAGGGCAGTACGAGATGCTGTCAGAGGTGAGTAATCCCTCTGTGGGCTGCATAGTCACAATCATTGTGGTTGTGAAAAGCCTACATCCATAGTACACCCACATAAAATGACACTAATTCTTTTTCACATTCATTTCCCCTAACAAATTAATCCTTTATTACAATCTCGTCGGCCCTACAATGATTGTACAATTTAATGAAGCTCACAGAGACTCAGATAACTCTAATGACGTGTGTCCTATTTCCGATGTCTCCAGTGTTTGGAGAGAGCAATGAAGTTTGCCTTTGAGGAGTTCCATTTGTGGTACCAGCTCGCCCTGTCGCTGATGGCAGCTGGGAAATCAGCTCGTGCCGTTAAGGTCCTTAAGGAGTGTATTCGTCTGAAGCCTGACGACCCCACCATCCCACTGCTGGCTGTCAAACTGTGCATCGGACCTCTGCACTGGGTAAGGACCATGCTGCAGACATAAAGTCAAACGCAGCTAGTTGCTGAAACATCTGGGAGACTTTTGCCGAAGTCTTCTTAAGCTACCTTTCTGTGTATAAAATAATAGATATTTGCATTTTCTCAGTTAGTGTCCTACCTTAAACACCTTTATTTCCTAAAACCATTTAATTTTACCCCCAAACCTCTTTTTTTCTCCCTCATTATGTCTATCTTCTCCCACACTCCAGTTGGATGAAGGTGAGTGCTTTGCAAAGATGGTGATTGACATGGGGGAGAAAGCAGCTGAGTTCAGAGCCAAAGGCTTCTTGGCCATCGGGCTGGTTTACAGCCTCAAAGCCACTGATGGTAAGTCTCTATGTGTATGTGCGTGCTATTGTACTTCCCTGACTAGAAAGGTTGATAGTCTTGTTAAGTATACTTTGTTGCGTCTTACTTTAAAAGAATTAGGATTAAGGGCGGGTTCACACCTAAAGATCCGCTTTCTCAATCAATTCGATATTAATCATACATTGTTTGAATTTTTCAACTGGTCCAGTTTGCTTTCTCAAAGGCAAAACTCAAACACTCCAGAAATTGTAAAGAATAGCCATGTGGTGGAAATGGTGTTCGATTATTGGTCATTCTGTCAGCAGGTGAAAAAACGAACCTCTCCAAACTTACACACTACAGCACTTTGATATACTGTTCAGGCAGTTTTTGAACTTTCACGCGACAGCTCTCAACACTTTCCTGGAATCCATTCTTCATTTTCTCACTGACTGTTTTGAATACTTCCATGTTCTTACGCACCTTCTCTAGAAACAAGCATTCGCTTCAGCCCAAGTATTCAGGAGGCATCTCGCTTTGTTTGGTTTGTCACCTTCTAGCAAACATGCTACTAGTTCACCAGGCACCAAAACAGGAAAAGAAAACATTTTTATCCAATAAAATGACACATATAGTACGCTTCCTGTTCGAATGGTGCTCACACCAGAAAAGAAAGAAAGAAGTTAATTTGGGGGATTGTGCCTTCAGTTAGTTACTTTAGCTGCTGTGAGTGATACCACATGGAAAGGAAGTCACAATTTTGAGAATACAGAAAAGTTAGAGCATGCGTTCATTTTTGTTTCTTGCTCTATATGTAATGTTTTCGCAACTAGACACATAAAGACTTATACAAACACTCCACATGAAATATTGTTGTGTGCCTCCACTGACTGTTGCACTTCTTGTATTATTGTATTATGTACCTGACTGCATTCTTTCCCTTTCTGTCACCTAACTCTGTCTCTCTGCATCTCCATAGCATCATTGCGAAGCACACAGGAGGAGTACCAGAGGAAAGCTTTGGGAGCCTTCCAGAGGTTGGGACTGAGCCATGCTGCTCTCTGTTTTCTCTTTTACACCCACATTTCCTTCAGAATGATTTTGTCACAGCAGAAATGGCTTTTCAGTCCAACAGAATAAAAAATTGTTTTTAAAATTACTACCTTATCAATCCATTATGTTTACCTGCTTCATTTGAACCCCGTGTTTGTCATCTGTCTACACAGTGTATGGGTTGTCATGTATGCCTAAATATGTTGTGAGAGTGAGGGTTATATAGGAACAAGGCTGTAATACACATATCCTTTAAACATTGATACTGTTTCTGCACATTTCTCCTGGAGATTGGGAGAAAGTCTGCAACTAAGAATGTATACTGTAGATTTTATCTATGAATAAGGTGAAAGGTCTTAATGGTCACACACACACACATATATATATATATATATATATACACACACTGCATTATTTTTCATATTGCTATAATGCTTTGATATATCCTCTGCTTATTTATATGGTGTTACTGTTTTTAATTGGGGCTAAATGTTTAAATATGCTCTGGTTTATTATTTTGCTGTCTGCTTCTGCAGTGACCCAGTTTCCCCACAGGGATCTTTAAAGTTTGATCTAATCTCATTAACTTTTTTATTCAGCATGTCTGAATACCCAATATCTCTCTTTCTGTCTCTGTAGAGCTCAGAGTCTGTCTCCTACTGACCATCTAGCAGCCTTCTACTTGGCGCTGCAGCTTGCTGTGTCCAGACAGGTAACGGTCTTTAGTCGTAACTGGATAAAATCACTACATACACATCCAAACCATCGTTTGTGGCTTGGATGCCAGATGGTGACACATCCATCACCTTACATGGTGCTTTTTATCCCAACTGTAGTGAAAACTTGTAGTTTGTCGATGTGTGTGTGTAGATCCCCGAGGCACTAGGCTATGTCCGACAGGCGTTGCAGCTTCAAGGGGATGATGTCCACTCCCTTCATCTGCTGGCCCTGCTGCTCTCTGCTCAGAAACACTACCACGACGCTCTCAATATTATAGAGATGGCTCTGTCCGAGTACCCTGAGAACTTCAAGTAAGACTCACACACGACCACAACACCTCATTTAAAGCAAAGCGAGTGTCTTTCTTTCACTTGACTGAGGATCATCTTGTCATGTGCGCTGTGTGTTGTAGTCTGCTGTATACCAAGGTGAAGCTGGAGTCAATGTGTAGAGGACCAGAAGAAGCTCTGCTCACCTGTAAACACATGCTGCAGATCTGGAAGAGCTTTTACAACCTTACCAACCCCAGGTACACACAGACACATTTACTTATGTCACTTAGAGACTGGCCCAAAAATCAGCTTTTGTCTAACATTAGTTTTCTCATTTGATTCAGTTAGCCACACAACAGTTAAACCGGGCAGTTAGTAGGTGTACATATGTTGTAAAAACCAATATTCACGCTAGAATAACTTTGTGTGGTGCAACCCATTTTGATTTATTGATGGTGTGAATCTCCACTTCGCAAACACGTTGGTTATAACTAGGCTATATTTATATACTTGCGAAGGGCAACCAGCTCCTGTTGACCACATTAAAGCTTGAACTAATTACAGTATTCTTACCGACAGGATAAACTGTTGAACTGTTGATTTTGGAGACAGTGTTTGCTTAGTAACCTAGGGATTGCAAAAACACTCGAGCATTGTGTGTGTGTGTGTGCGTGTGTGCGCGCGTGTAAAAACGTGTGTTTGTGGCAGTGATTCTGGGCGTGGCAGTAGTCTGTTGGACAGAGCCATAGCAGACAGACGACAGCTCAACGCCATGACTCTGCCGGACTTCAGTGACCCTGAGACCGGTAGGCGCACACACTCTCACCTTTTGTCAGTGATGGGAGATATGGCTTCTTCTTTCTTGCATATTGACGCATTCTCACTTGTATCAAAAGAAAATGTCTATAAAAAATCTTTCCCACTCTTTAAATTATAGAAATATTGAGTCCAGTTTGTGAAACGTGTATGCAGATTAAGAACCAGTGATCTGTGTTTCTTTCCTGTCTTTATTCCTTCATTGATTTCACTAATTTCTGTTTTTATTTCCTGTGTTTGTTTTAGTCTCAGGTTCTTCCTCTTCTCACTCTGGTTCTGAACCGGTCTCCCCCATCTCCCCATCCACCATTTCCACCCTCTCCTCCCCACTGTCCTCCCCCTCTTCCTCTGTCTTCATCCTGCAGCCTCCTCCTCCGCCCAAAAACCCATCTGTCCTCCCTCCTCCTCCCCCTCCCCCTCCTCCTCCTGCACCCACCAAGACCAGGACTCAGTCCTTTTGCAACCACGTCACTCTCCGCCAGCTCTCCTCCAATTGTAATCCTCCTCCACATCCCCTAGGCCTGTAGCATGGTGTGGAGAGTGACCTAAAAGGCTTATTGGCTTATTGATTAACTTGATAAACTAAGTGTTTGTTTTTTTCCTCCGGTGCCGTCTTGAATAGTATATTGATAAATATTAGTCCACTAGCAATATCCCAAGTAAAAGACTAACCGTTCAGTGCATGGTCAAATTTCAGAAACTGAAAAATGAACTCGTATACCACTGCTGTTGGCTGTTTTACTACGCTTACGAAGAAAATATCACGTGCTGTGTAGTGATTTTTAGCATTACACTGTATAGTCTTCCCTTGCCTGCCACCTTCACTTCCTATGGAAACACTGTAAGTGGAACCTGACTGAAAATATTGTACTACTTAAAATACCACATTACATACATGTACCTTCAATATCACTTTAATATCCCTGTAGTAATTTTATTTTTTGGCCAATTTACCTTTTGACAGTGACAGTAGAGAGACAGGAAAGGCAGGGGAGAGAGAAGGGATGAAATGCAGTAAAGGGCCCTGACTCGGGCCCCTGCAGTAAGGATATGTGTTACGTGCTCTAACAGGTGAGCTACTGGGGTGCCCAGTAACTTTGATTTTGCTATTTTGGATTTACACGTCCTGTAGCTTGTGGCATATCCAACATTATTTTAATATCAGTTTATAATGTCGTAATAAACCCCTCAACAGTGAGTTTATGATATTTTCTTTGTATGATATCGTTGTAATATTATATTATAGAGACTGTTTGAATATTCATAAAACACCTACATCGGCATCACCACACCCAGCTTGGTGCTACTAGCCTGTACTACTAGTTTACCACAAAGAAACAAGAGGCCATGCAATACAGTAATCCACACAGCATCACTTCAGTACCAAGGAGAGTGCAAGCCACGAGTCTGACTTTATCAGTAAGGAAGATTTCACTGTGTAAAACTACTAGCAACAAAAAATACCACCATCCACCAAGAATGAATTACAAAAGGAACCCAAGCAGCTTATCCCTTATAGTTATGATCAGCAAAACAGGGCGGCTGTGACTCAGGTGGAAGGTAGGAAAGCGGTTGAACCCCAAATTGCTCCCGATGGCCGTGCTATTTGTATTTGTATTTGTTTGTAAGAGTGTTTGAGGAGGATTAATTTCGGTGTCTGATCAGCAGTTGGCACCTTGGATGGTGCATCACTGGATGATGTATGAATGTGTGTGTGAATGGGTGAATGTTGACTTTAGTGTAAAGCGCGTTGAGTGGTCAGGAGACTAGAAAAGCTCTGTCCCTCTCGAAGATGCCTGGTTCTACTTTAGATTATGAATTATTGAGTTAACACCCAATAAACTAAATACAAGTTAATGTCCAGTTATACACTGAACTCAAAGATGGAGCTGAACTCAAAGATCTAAGATTTTTTCTATGTATGCAAAAGGCCTATTTCTCTCAAATATTGTTCACAAATCTGTCAAAATCTGTGTTAGTGAGCACTTCTCCTTTGCTGAGATAATCCATCAGGTGTGGCATATCAAGATGCTCATCAGACAGCATGAGCCACAATAAAAGGCCACTCGAATTCGAAACAGGACCCAGATCTACATCAAATATACAGTATTCTGCAAATGATATAACCTTCTCATTTATGTCAAACTAAATGAATTATTAAATTGTGTGTTTTTGAATAATCTTTTCACTCACTGTTTTAAAACTCATCTTATTCAGTTCAATTACATTTTATTTACAAAGCGCCTTTTCATAACAGAAATTATGGAGAGTTTCCTGATAATATTGCTTAAAGGAAGCATTTATAATGTGAACAGGACTGGTCCAAGCACAGAACCTTGTGGAACTCTGTGACTTTGGCATGCATGGAGGATTCGTCGTTAACATGTACAAACTGAGATCGATGCGATAAATAGGACTTAAACCAGCTTAGAGCGGCTCCTTTAATTCCAATTAAATGTTCCAGCCTATAATAGGATGTGATGGTCCGCGGTGTCAAATGCAGCGCTAAGATCTAACAAGTAAAGAGACAAATCCTTTGTCTGATACAATTAGAAGGTTATTTCATGCTCATGAAGTCGTTAGTACTGAGAGCTATAGGAATACATGGCTCAATAGAGCTGTGACTCTCTGTCAGCTTGGCTACAGTGCTGAAAAGAAACCTGGGGGTGTTCTTATGTTCCTCTATTAATGACGAGTAATACGCTCTGGCATTATGGAGGGCCTCCCTAGATGTTTTAAGATTATGGTAAATGGTCTGTTTTTGAATATTTACGACCACTGAAAGCGCTTTACACTACATCACATTCACGCTGATGAGCAGAGACTAAGGTTCAATTTGGGGTTAAGTTTCTTGCCCAAGGACACTTCGACAGACCGGGAGAGCCTGGATAGAACCACTGACCTTCTGTTTAGTGGACGACCGCTCTACCCCCCCTGAGCCACAGCCACCCCCGATTA